GAGCTTGCAGTGAGCTGAGATGGCACCACTGCACTCCAGCCTGGGTGACAGAGCGAGACTCTGTCTCAAAAAAATAAATAAATAAATAAATAAATAAATAAATAAATAAATTCTGGAACCATTCTACTATGATGGACAGACTAAGCCTTTTAGTTAAATGTAAACAGACTTAAAATACAGTAGTCACTTAATTCATTTCTAAAGTCACATTTACTGTATGTATGCCTAATTGGCTGCAGAAAAATGAATTTAAAATATTTCTCCTTCAGCTGATCTAGAACTTCTTGTTATTAAAAGTTTGCCAGGCCCTTTGTTTATTTAAATGCAGATGTCCTTGCTTACAAACTAAACTGGTGAGATGGATCACAACTTAGAATCTCTCAGAAATTAGGCTTCTTGCTATTTGCAGTGACTGACTATAAGACTGAGTGCAGGAGACACCTTTACCTTGAGAGCTTACAGAGCTACTTGCACATCTTTATTAAAGAATGGTCCTCTCCTATCAGGGAAGGTCATCCTCTTCAACCAGGTTTTCAACTTGAGGAGGGCTACACGTGAAACAGTGGAGAAAGGGGACACCGGTGTAGCCAGACATCAGCTGAATCAACCCTGGTGATCAGTGGGTGGCAGATGTTGAAGTCAGATCACTCTCACATGAGACCTTCACCTCGAGTGATGCACTTGACTAATAGCAGATAAAAAGAGAAAGCCCATGGACAGACATCTACTTGTCTATACATCTTACTACATATTTTGGGTGACTTTGGATCCATTATATGACCATAAAACTCTGATCATGTAACTTCTTTAACACAAACTGCTAAGCGACAGATTGGAAAGGGCTGCATATGCCTTGGCCATGTGTCATAACCCTCAAGTAAACCTTGTTAATAGTCTCACATTGTTTCTACTCACTATCACCCTGGACAGAGCTGATTCTAAGAATGCCAATGGCAGAACACTTGGGTATTATAACTGGCACAGCAACTCCATCCTTTGGGGGGCTCTACATATATACTTGCCTATATGAAGATCACATAGGATTAGGCAAACATACCCTTAAGCCATTCTAGACACTATTAAGGCCTTGTCATTTTCTAAGAATTTACTTAATGAGACATTTCTCTGAATAAAATTTTGATAATTAAAAAAATTATTTCAACAGATACTTACTGATTTGGGGGCAAGGCATAGTGTAAGCACCTGTATTTAATGTGTTCATTTGTCTGCTTTAAAGAAAAACAAGAGGTGAGAGTATTTCTTTCTCTTGGAAGCTAGAATCAGTTTCTTTAATTTTGTTTGCCAAATTTAGTAGTAAACTGGCTTTTACTGGTGATATTGAAAGTTGTCCTTGTCATAAGACTATATATATATATCCATAGGAAATACTGGTGTCACCAGTTCACTATTTAATAATACTGTTCTGCTCAAGCCATTTTAATCTACTCCAGCCTGGCCTGGTTCTTATTTGTCATAACTTCACTTATGGAAACTTTAGAGGAACAATCATGCAGAGCGGTTTGCCAACATGTAAAATTAAATCTTTTGTTCCTAAGATAGATAACAGTAACTGGGTTGAATTGAATATAGACATATCTGAAAGGCAGGCAGAACATGGTTTTGCTTGCTTGGCATTGAAAGCACATTTTCTTGACTATATCACTCCTCTTATTTTTTTCTATAAATTTATGGGATACAAGATTATTTAGTAATGAAGTCAGGGCTTTTAGGGTATCTGTCACCTGAATAATGTACCTTGTACCCATTAAGTAATTTCTTATTCACTCTTCCACAACCTTACCCTTTCAAGTTTTCATTGTCTGTCATTTCATACTCTACCTCTATGTGTACACGTTGTTTCAACCCCACTGATGAGTGAGAACATGTGATATTTGTCTTTCTGTGTTTGACTTATTTCATTTAAGATAATTGCCTCCAGTTTCATCCATGTTGCTACAAAATACATGATTTCATTCCTTTTTAGTGGCTGAATAGTATTTCATTGTCTATACCACATTTTCATTATCCAGTCATCGATAGATAGACACTAGGTTGATCCCATACCTTTGCTATTATGAGTAGTACTGTGATAAACATATGAGTGTTAAGTATGTTTTTGATATAATGATTTCTTTTCCTTTGGGTAGATACCTAGTAATGGAATTGCTGGATTGGTTGCTAGATTGTATTTTTAGCTTTTTGAGAAATCTCCGTACTGTTTCCCATAAAAGTTGTATTAATTTACATTCCCACCAACAGCATGTAAGTGTTCCTCTTTGCATCCTCGCCAATATCTATTATTTTTGACTTTTTAATAGTAGCCATTCTGACTGGGGGAGAATGATATCTTATTATTTTAATATGCATTTCTTTGGTGATTAGGGATGTTGGGCATTTTTCTATATACCTGTTGGTCAGTTGTATGTCTTCTTTTGATAAAACACCTATTCACGTCTTTTGCCCACTTTTTAATGGGATTGCTTGTTTGTTCTTGTTGAGTGTTTGAATTCCTTGTATATTCTGGATATTAGACCCCTGTTGAGTGAATATTTTGCAAATATTTTCCCCCATTCTGCAGATTGTCTGTTTATTCCATTGATTATTTCTTTTTCTGCACAAGCTTTTTAGCTTAATTAAGTCACATTTGTCTATTTTTGTTCATGTTGCCTGTGCTTTCAGTGTCTAAGTCATGAATTCTTTGCCTAGACCAATATCCAGAAGAGTTTTCCTTAGGCTTTCTTTCCCAGTTTCATGTATTACATGCAAGTATTTTCACAGTTTCATGTATTACACGTAAGTCTTCTAATTCATTGTAAATTAATTTTTGTATATGGTGAGGGTAAGGGTCCAGTTTCATTCTTTTGCATATATCCAATTTTCCTGGCACCATTTATTGAAAGCGGTGTTTTTCTCCCCAGTATGTGTTCTTGTTGACTTTGCCAAAGATCAGTTGACTGTAAATATGTGGCTTTATTTCTGGATTCTGGATTCTGTTCCATTAAACTATGTGTTTATTTTTATATCAGTACCAGACTGTTTGATTACTATAGCCGTGTAGTATTATTTGTTTTTTTTTAAATTTATTTTTGGCTGAGCGTGGTGGTTCATGCAGGTAATCCCAGCACTTTGGGAGGCCAAGGTGAGCGGATCACGAGGTCAGGAGATTGAGACCATCCTGGCTAACACGGTGTCTAGTAAAAGTACAAAAAAAAAAAAAAATTAGCCGGGCATGGTGGCAGGCTCCTGTAGTCCCAGCTACTCAGGAGGCTGAGGCAGGAAAATGGCGTGAACCTGGGAGGCAGAACTTGCAGTAAGCCAAGATCGCGCCACTGCACTCCAGCCTGGGCAACAGAGCGAGACTCTGTCTCAAAAAAAAAAAATTTTTTTTTAAATTTTTGTGGGTACATAGTAGATGTATATATTTATAGGGCACATGAGATGTTTTGATACAGGCATGTAATGTGTAATAATCACATCATAGAGAATGGAGTATCCACCCTCAAGCATTTATCCTTTGTGTTACGAACCAATTTTTTACTTTTAGTTATTTTAAAATGTACAATTAAATTATTATTGACTATAGTTACCCTATTGTGGTATCAAATATTTAGTCTTATTCATTCTTTCTGTTTTTTGTACCCAATAACCATCCCCAACTCCCGCCCTGTCCCTTACTACCCTTCCCAGCTTCTGGTAACCGTCCTTCTACTCTCTGTCTTCATGGGTTCCATTGTTTTGATTTTTATATTTCACAAATAAGTGAGAACATGAGATATTTATCTTTCTGTGCCTGGCTTATTTCACTTAACATAATGATCTCCAGTTCCATCCACATTCTTGCAAATGACAGGATCTCATTGTTTTTATGGCTGAATAGTACTCCACTGTACTATATGCACATACCACATTTTCTTTATCCATTTATCTTTTTTTTTTTTTTTTTTTTGAGACAGTCTCACTCTGTCACTCAGACTGGAAAGCAATGGCATGATCTTGGCTCACTG